GGGTTAGTATGAGGGTTAGGATTTAGTAATAAATATAGTAAAATTGCTTAAGGAAATTTTTTGTTAAAGCACAGAAGGTAGTTTCTTATGCTAATTTTCAGAAAACAAGCATTTTTTCTAATTTTTTCAAAAACGAACGTTTGTTTTAAATTTTCCTGATTGTATTATATTACACCAAATTATTATTATCTATTAGATAATTTCTGTAGATCATCACATGAGCGTGAAAATTTTTGGTAGCGATCCTGGGGTAGTTGGCCAGAAATTGCAGATTGTATATTGATCAGAGAAAAATCAAAACAAACCCTAACTAATGACAAAGTCCTTCAAGTTCGTTTGTGTTAGGGTTATCATCTATATTAATATTAGAGTTTAAAAGATTATACAGTAAAATCGCTCAATAAAAACTTTTTGTTAGTATACAAAGTGTTGTTTTTTATGAAGATTTTTAAGAAATCAGCGATTTTTGACAAAGAGGCATTTGGTTTGAATTTTCATGATCGACATGCGATCTGCAATTTTTGGCCCAAATTCTTATGTGATATTTAGCATCAGCCAAATTCAGTATTAGCCGTGATATTACATAATCTCTTATTATCGAAATTACTAATTTATTAAATCAGCCAAATAATCATTCAGTTAATTTTTTACCAGATGTCCAAAAATTTATGAGAACAGCTATAAAAGTAGAGTGAATATAGATATCTGATATCTGATATCAGATATACGTACGTACATATGATCCTAGCAACTAGCAGCTAGATACAATTTACTTTTGCACTGTGATCTAAGTGATTTAACTAGTACAATAGTTGTTATTTTTATTTTTTTGAAAATAACCAGTTAACCAGAGAAATCACTAGTCATACGGATAAGTATACTCTCTTTTTTTGCTTATACTATACCTTTATTTTTTCTTTTTTTATGAATAAGAGTTTTTTTTATTTATTTTTTTATATATAGTATAGCTATCATTGTCTTTTTTGTCACTTACTAGTATTTTTACTTCGTCGCTTTCTGGTACTGTGCTGTGTTGTATTTGTTAGTATAGTATCATATTGTTATACTGCAGTTTGTTGGTATACTATCATGCTGCATTACTAGCTCGCATTGTGCTAGCTCTGTATACTATATTGTATTGATATTGTATCATATCATATTTCAATAGTATCATTATACTGTTGATACTTTGATATTTTATTTGTTGTCCCTTGGTTAGTATTATAGATTGTTGACAGTATGTAATATAACAGATTGAGGCAGCAGTGGGTTCAATTGAGTTTGGATAAGTTTAAAGTGAAAGTTAAAATAAAATTAGAATATAAAGCGGGTTAGAGTTAGATTAGAGTTATAGATAGGTTTAAAGTGAGAGTTAAAATAGAATTAGAACATAAAGCGAGTTAGGGTTAGATAGAGCACAGAATTAGTATAAGAGTTAGAATTATATTTAGATAGTTATATGAGTCTAGTTTGAGATTAGGATTAGGTTGGTATAAGGTAATAAGGTAATCTATTTAAATTAGTATTATATTGCAGAGAAGATATTCATTATTAATGATGTTTGTGTTAAGATATTTTTAAAAATAGTTTTGCACATTATATAAATATATAATATGAAATAATTACGAAATAAATTTGTATGAATTACTGATAAATAAGATAATATAAAATATAAAACATAGAGTGATTCAAAATTAATAAAATAAGTGACGCATTTATTTCAAAATACATGATCTATAAATCCTATATTTTTTAAAGGATATGCTTATTTATATAATCACTTACTGGTAGATATTTATTTAAAAAAGCTAATTTTAATAACAGATACACCTATTTAATTTTTTTGACTCAGAATTTTAAATATAAAATAGGACTCTTACTTATTTTTGAAATAAGTTAATTCTAAATCACCCTAATAAATACAAATCGTAGTTTGTATAACTAGTAAATATTAGAAATTCTTTTTGGAGCTATCAGTTTATCAACATATCTTGTAAAAATATTCTATCACTATTTGTGCCAAATTTCTGTTTCAAATCAGATTATCACATAATACCAATTTGAACCCGATTGGCTTTAAGTCAATCTGTGAATTTTTAATTTAAAAACTTTATATAATATTTTTTCTACTTATATAATAACAGCTGGGTCCTGGATATTCTTTAGCCTTAATATGTTACGAGAAACAATTAATTTTATTTGCATGACCTAATTAAAAAATTACCAAAAAAATACATAATCTAGACTAACTATTTACTAAATTTTTGTAAAGTTTTAAAGCTCTAGGATCTTATAGTGATAAGATATAGATGCAGAATTACTTTTGTCTAGCACTGTAAAATTAAGTTATTTAACAAATTACAAAAATTTTTATTTAAAATTATTGTTAATCTAACCAAAACAAAAACTTATTTAGAACTTAGTAATAAGCGGACTACTTAAATAGGCAACCAAAAGTTGTACGTGTGACTAATATGTACTCTCCAAATATGTATACGAGATGCTATAAACGCATATTGTAAAAGTTAACTATAACCGAATAAAAGGAGCCAGCCAAGAGACCACCTTAACACCAAAAAAAAAAAAAAAAAAAAAAACTTATTTACAATATATTAGATATAATTTGTTTTAATAGTATTTGTTTTTTTTTTTTTTAATTTGGTAGTACTGCCTATTACTTTTTATTGGGAAGTACCAGAATTTATATCAACAGAGAGATACAATTTTCTATACTATATTTTACGTGAATAAAGATCAACTCAAGTTAAACTTAAAGAATAATCTATCTAGCAGCAATTAGCTTCATATTGGATTTTCAATTTACTGAGGATATGAACCCTCTGATCCTTAGCTCTAGCAGCTACATGCTTTATCAAAAAAGCCAAATTAATAAAAACACAAACACAAAAGAAAAAATAATATAAGATACAAGCAAGAAAGCAAAAAGAGATAAGGGGATATCGAAAAAAGAAAAAAAATAAAATTTGCCTATTCTAATGATCACTATTATAAGCTCGTGAAAGGCTTATAAAAATTACATATTACTAAATAAAATAGTCTCTACTCTAAATTTATCTACACAGTATATGAAAGCTTAAAACCAGTAGAAAAATACTTCTTTGATCATAAAATATAGGAGTCAGTACTTGATTCAAGTCATAGAATATTGCTTAATCAGATTGTTACATTTTAGATATGTGTCTTAATGTATTTGTTGTCTTGTTGTACTAATTTGAAAAGTAAACAATGTTAACTATTTTGGTGTACATAATATCGATCTTTTGGAGGGTAAGCTGAAATGCCCACTTTTTACAAAATTTCCTTAAAAAAAGTGATAGGCCAACAAAAGTATGTGAGGTTCTTCTTATAAAAGTTACAGTAGTATAGTCTAGTTTCTCTGTTTCTACTTGATATTCTTGCACAGGGACTCGACAGGGATGTTGCTCCCAAAATATCCTTTTGATTTGAATGTCGAAGATATGAGGGAGTCTACTTCTTTTTCTTTGCTGTTCCCAGAGACTTCTCTAGTTTGGATACCAAATGCACAAAAGAGTTTACTATACAAGAAGAAAGGGCTTGACCTCTGTGCAAACCATTTACAATACCCACACCTTGGTATATCACATTTAAGAACTTCATCGACAATAGTTTGAAAAAAAGAAGCTTGATCCAAGATATTAAACCTACTTTTTGTTATACACTTACTTCACAGTATTTCACGTATATAAGCTTCGTCGATAGCAAGTAGTGTAAGTATGTAGCAAGAGTATCGTGGTATTCAATTTGTCACTTTTCTATAACTTTTTACTATAATTCAATTATTTTGTTGTTGACCAAGAGATCATTGAAAAAAGTTGAGTAAATTTTTTTATCTTAATAGTATTTGGTTTTCTTTAAATCTTTAACTTATTAAGAATTTTTTCTTTTATTTATCAGTTAGTAGCCATTGGCTTATCAAAAAGCAAAATAAAAAAGTAAAACAAATAAATATTAAAAAATATAAAAATATAAAAAATTATAATAAAATATATAAACAAAAAGAGAAAAAGTTAAGGAGAGTAATGAAAAAATAAAAAGAAATTTTACTATTACAATTATAAATCTATACTAAGCTTATAAAAATTATATATATCTAAATAAACTAGTTTCTATTTTATATTTATTAATTAGTAAATATAAATAAAAACTATTTAAAAAAACTTAATTAATTTAGTTATTAAAAAGAAATTAAAAAACTAGAGTTTAGAATACAGATATACAAGACATGCTTCTAAAGACATGCTTCTAGAGCATACCTTATAAACATACCTCAAGATCAAAAAGTATACTTTTGTTATATAATATATAAACCATATTTTGATTAGTTTAATAAAGTTAAATACTAAATAAATATATAGGAGTATTAATAGAAATTAAGCAAATTGTTTTTAGTAAATTTTAAAATTTTAAATTACAACTATTAAACCAAACTTTTTAATAAAAATTTATTAAATTTGGTTTAATAGTTAAGATATTTTAATTTAATATTCAATTTTCTTGGTTTCTACTAATACCCTATATGAAGTTTTTAGAATATTGCGAACTCATAAACTATATACAGTATTAGTTATATAATTTAGAAAATGCATATCCATAGGCATGAGGGGTATGCTTTAACACAAGGCATGGAATTTAAAGTCGTTAATAAAAAAGCATAGCGAGCTGTCATCTGATATAAATTTTATACGTAGTCTACCAAATTTCAGCATCATCCGATTTTTGCCTATTAAGTTGGGATAAAAAAAAGCTTTAATAGGTATATAGCAGAAAATTTTGCAAAGTTGTAAGGTGGTGACGACAGAGTTACCAACGCTATGGAAGTTTTGACCAGCATTATTCACATGATGAAACTTACACAAATCATTATAATGCCAGCCAACGCTAGACTGATATATAGTCCTTTAGGCCGACTCTTATTTCTGCTTTTTTATTATAAACAACAAAAAGACTAGATAACGATAATGCAACAACCACCACAACAAGAACGTTCGCCGACAGAATTTCTAAGTAATGTTATTGGTAGACCTGTCGTAGTCAAGTTGAATTCTGGGGTGGACTATCGAGGTATTTTTGAATTGTTTATTACGGTGTATTCATGTTTATGATTCATCTCGCGTATTATTTTTTTTATAAACTTGGAAGGAATCCTTTCGTGTCTGGATGGTTATATGAATATTGCCCTTGAACAAACAGAAGAATGGGTTAACGGCCAGCTGAAAAATAAATATGGAGATGCATTTATCCGTGGAAATAATGGTATATACCAAGTAATTTTTAGGAATTTATTTGAATTGTTTTTAATAGCTTTCGCTTTTTATAGTATTATACATTAGTGCTGACAAAGCCAGAAAACGAGAACCATTAAATGTCCAATGAATGATGTCTAACGTTATATAGATAGGGATAGTAAAGTTAGTATAGGTTCTAAAACCTTTAGTAGACAGGATATTCTTCTTACGGAAGGTTTGCCGTACTTATTGGTCAAACTAACTGGCATAATTTTTATATATAAATTTATAAAAAACATTCTAGAAACAAATAATATTTTAACTTGAAATATATATTTTTAATATTTGTATATAAAACTTTAAGATCTTGATCTAAATTTAATATATATTTTTTTTTGCTATTTTTGTAAAATTAAATTAAAATGTTAATTTATTTAAAGTAATTATATTTGGATAAAAAAATTTTTTCAAGATTATTATTATAAAATAATCTTTAAAAAGTAAAATTTTTAATAAATATAGAATATATTAGTTACAAGATATATTTAATAGTTTTTATTATTTATAAATTAAATAAAGTAATATATTAAATTTATTATAAAAAAATTAAAATTTAAATTATTTAAAAAAAAACCATTGAATGGTATATTGGTGTATTTGGTATATTTTTCTTTGTATAAACCTTTTTTTTTACTTTGGCAGTCTTGTTATTAATTTTTTATTTAAATTAATTTGTATAGTATTATAAATTGTTAAGCTAAATATTTAGATCTAACATTCTATAGTTACTTCTTTAATACAGTAAGTTATATATAACCAAAGTTAATATTTATAAAGTAATTCTTAATTATCTAAGTACTTTTAAATAATCTATCACATTGGACTAATCACACACTTAAAAGCATGTTTAATTACTACTCTACAATAAGATATTACCAATCTGATAATATTTTCTTATAAAAAAATAAAAAACTATATACTATAAAAACAAAAACAGAATTATAAAAGAATATAATAAAAAATACAAATAAAAAAAGGAGAAAAGAAAATACAAATTAAAAAAAAGCCAAATAATCACAATTTTTAATCTATATTAGATCTTTAAAAATTATATATAACTAAATACTGTATAATAGTCTCTATAGTTAACAATACTTTTTTTTCACTTAGACTATCTTGCTAGTGATCTTTTATTAAGATTATTTTGTTACAAATATAACAAAATATTGAGCTTAATATTTAGAATTTATATCTTATAATTACTTCAAGAGTATTTACAAACAATCAGCTACACCAGAACAATCTTCTTATAAGGAATATCCTTGATCTAAGTTAATATAATCTAAAAAAATCATGTCAAATCACTACTCTACAATAGAATATTGCCAATCTAATAATATTTTTTTGTAGTAAAGTGAAAAAAAACAAAAAATACTAATACTAATACTAATACTAAAAGAGAAAAAAAACTAATACTAAAAACAAAAACAGAGACAAAGATAGAAAAAAAAAAAAAGTAATCTGATAGTCACAATATCAGATCTTAAAAAATTATATATTACAGTATAAGATAAAGAAGCTCTGTATCTAACTCTATCCTAATAATATACAGTATATATAGATAAAAAAACTGGATTAATATTAAAAAAAATTAGCTAAACTAGAATAAATTAAACAAAATAGCCCAGAAATAATAGTCATGAAGTATTGTTTGAATAGTTTTTTTGCTTAAGGTATATAATCTATTTGTATTACTATATGATTCATATTTGGTTACTTATTCTAGACATTTGTTTATTATCTTATTTTAGTAATCCTATTTACAAATATAAACAGGTAAATAATACTGACTATTTTGAAAAATTATATATTAATCTTTTAAAAGAAGTAAGCTAAAATGTTTACTTTTTGACAAAATTTTTTCAAAAAAAGTGATAGGTTAACAAAATTTTTCTATAGTTGTTTTTTGTAAGTTTTATAGTTATATAAATATAATCTAAAGCTTGTAATACTTCTGATGTTAATCTAGTTATTTTATATTTTCAAAATACTCTTTTGGTTTGAATGCTAAATATGATAGAAGAGTTTACTAACCAAAGCTTAATCTCTACAAAAGGTGCTAGATACGATCAAGAAGAAGTTCGACGAAAGATTTTGAACCTGTATATGGAACTTTGATGTGAATTAATAAATAATTGAGAAAAGAAGAACGGAATCACCACCAAAGCCAAAAGAAAAGAAAAGACAATGAAAAAAAAAGAGTCCAAAAAAGGAAACAGAGAATAAGGAAAACAGGGCCACAGAAAAAAAGAATCGGAAAACAGCCCTCGAAGAAAAAGAGAAGCGAGTCCTAAACGTGGTGAAAGAAAATAATAAAAACCTGATCAGCTATCGTATCAAACCAAACTGGTCCTCATGGACCAGTACCTTAAAGAAGAAATAGTGATTATTGACAAGGTCGGCAGCTTCTAGCTAAGGATCAGAAGAACCATATCTTCAGTAAGTTAAGGATTCAACATAAAGCAAATTGGCTGCTTAGGCAGGTTGCACCTGGGCTTTAATGCTGAGTGAGTCTTTATTAGTACAAGAATATAGTATAGAAACTTTATATTTAGTTTAAATGTAAAGTTCTGGTACTTCTGATTTAAATAATAAAGGCAGGATCGCTAAAAAAAAAAAAAATATATATATATATATAATAGTTTAAACTTGAATAACTTTTGATCCACTAAACAAATCTAGATGATTTAACTACCAAAATGATCCTCTCAAAGAGAGGATTCGAATGAATCCAAAATCATCCAATTCTGATCAC